GGTGATATGCAGTCTCTGAGGTTGGAGGCACTCGCTGCTGCTGACCCAAGACGGCCCAAGGGGCTCCGAAACAAACGCACCGTAGGCAGCAACATGTAAAACTACATCATCGCTGACCAGAAACTGGAACTGGAGCAGGTTGCAGGTAACCTCAGCTGCGCAGCCGCAAGGACCCACAGGGGGGTCAGCGGATTACACTTACAAGTGGTACGCGTGCCCTGGCCCTTGCACATTTGAGGAAGAGGAGGAGGAGGAGGAGGAGGAGGAGGAGGAGGAGGAGGAGGAGAAGGAGGATGATGATGAGGAGGAGGAGGAGGCGCAGGTGGGGGGATTGAGGAAACAAGGGGGAGGAGTGGCAGGTGGAGCCAGGGCCCCGGCGGGAGGTTGAATCCAGGGCCAGGACTGGCGGGGCGAGGAGGGCTGGGTCCATGACAGGGGTGGAGGGTGGGTCCAGGGCCAGGACCAGGGAGACGACGACGAGCGAAAATGAAGGGCCCGGGGCGAGGGGGGCTGAGGCCAGGGGAGGAGGCTGGGTCCAGGGCTGGAGCCACCGGGGCGAGGGGGGCTCCGGCCAGGGCCAGGGGAGGAGGCTGGGTCCAGGGCCAGAGCCAGCAGGGCGAGGGGGGCTGGGGCCAGGGACACGGGGGGAGGCTGGGTCCAGGGCCCAGGCCAGCGGGGCGAGGGTGGCTGGGGCCAGGACCAGGTGGCCAGTTGGGCAGGCTGGGTCCAGGGCCAAGGCCAGCGGCGCGAGGAGGGCTGGGCTTAGAACCAGCGGGGAAGGATGGGTCCAGGGCCAGGACCAGGGGGACGACGATAAACGAAACTAAAGGCTCTGGGGCGAGGGGGGCTGGGGCCAGGGCCAGGGGAGGAGGCTGGGTCCAGGGCCAAGACCAGCGGGGCGAAGGGGGCTGGGGCCAGGGCCAGGGGGGTAGGCTGGGTCCAAGGCCTAGGGCCAGGGCCAGCGGGACAAGGGGGGCTGGGGCCAGGACCAGGTGGGGAGGCTGGGGCCAGGGCCAGGGGGACGCCGACGAGCGAAAATAAAGAATTCTGGGCGAGTGGGGCTGGGGCCAGGGGTCCGGGGCGAGGGGAGCTGGGGCCAGGGCCACGGGAGGACGCTGGGTCCAAGGCCAGGACCAAGGGGACGACGACGAGGGGGGCTGGGGCCAGGACCAGGGGTGGAGGCTGGGTCCAGGGCCAGGTGCACGCTTCCCTCTGTGGGAACGCCGTACTCACTGCGAAGAGCCCCTCCTCTTGACAGTACCCTTCCGCTGTCAGTGCGACGGGGAGCCCCGTGTGATCCCAAGACAGCCGCTTCCTCGGGGTCCCCACAGGGGGCCGAGCTCGACACTAGAGTCTCCACCCGTGACGCACACGTTGTCGGCGCGTTGTGCTGCGCTCCTCGACGTGTGTTAAGCTCCTCGTAGAATCTCTCACGGACAGCCGCTTCCTCGGGGTCCCTACAGGGGCCGAGCTCGACACTAACGTCTCCACCCGGGACTCGCACGTTGTCGGCGCGTTGTGCTGCGCTCCTCGACGTGTGTTAAGCTCCTCGCAGCATCGCTCACGGGCCCGAGTGTAGCGCGGGCCCGAGCAGGGCGCGTGGTAGGCCACTGTGGCGTGAGGCCTCTCTGCGCACCCTGCCTGGGAAACGAGATGGACAAGCACCGCGTCCCTTTTCGTTCCTCCCCCCATTTCGCGTCCTATCTGACTCCCCCCTTCCTCCACTCTTTCGTGAGTCGCCGACTCGGCGCAATTCCCACCTTCCCTCCGGTGACAGCCGTCCAAACTACGCCCTCGTGATCAAATTCTCTCGCTCCGTTTTCTGGGGGGCTGAGAGTTGATAGCAAGGAGAAGTCCCTGTGTCTTGCATCCATGAGCGCGAATATCAAGAGGAAAAAACACACAGACACAATTAATCGTCGAGTCCCAGGAAAATATGGTAAAATATGGGAAGTGGCGGGGAAGACAGAAACCCAGAAAATATGGGAAAATATGGGGAGTATTTTTGTTTGTGTGTATTTATTTGTGTGTCCTGGGGCCCCTTCAGAATAGACGCTCTGTCTTCATGAGTTGCGGCGCTCCGCTCGTGCTCCACCCCCGGCCCCCTGGTGCTCCAGGTGCCGCCCAGGAAGCACTTACACTCTAGGCGATGCTTAAGAAAACCAAAGTTTTCGGCCAGAGTCTCGATTATTCTTAACTTTTCAATGTAAATCCTGAGATTTGAATAGACGTTCTGGGTTTTTATTCAAGTTCTGAGACTATAAATTTCTTAACCCATGATTTCTAAAGCATTTCGCAGGGTGTACACTCCCCATTGATCGCCGCGCGACGGCGCTGGGCGGCCCTACGGAGCAGGGACAATCTGCGCATAGCCATCGACCGTTTCTGTTTGCGCCTACGCGTTTTCTAGGCGTTCCTGTGCGCTCTCCGAGGGGCGTTTCTCCGCTGGCTTCTCTGCACATCATTGCACGACTGCATAGGGTCCGTGTGTATGGGCTCAGCGCTCGGAGACCCACCAGAAGAAGAAACCCTAGGGTCGCCTGGGCCATGGGCACCTCCGGCCTGCCCCCCAGGTGGGGCCGAGAGGGGAAGAGCCGGAGCTCCAACCGTCCTCTCAGGCATGTTATCCGGGGGGGGGGGGGGGGGGTGCAAACCCGCAGCAATCCCGCCCCCAAGCCAAACCGATGGGGCCCGTGTGAGGGGGAGCTCCCAGAGGATCGAACCGAAGACACGAGCCGAGAGACACTGAGCCCCCCTTCCGTAGCCCAACAGGGGGCGCCCTCCTGTGGAGGGCGTGGGTTAGCCGTGCCCATTGGCTCCACGCCCCAACAATGCAGAAACAGAATTCCCACTAGGAGCCAATTTGGCACGCTGCCCCTGCCGCGGCCGTTCTGCATGTGCACCTTGGAGAGGGGGGAGGAGGAGGAGGAGGGAAAGGAAGAACTACCACACAATGAGGTTGCAGAACTGCGTGGAGGCCTATGCTCGAGCAGCAGAAAGCCAGCACCCCTGAAGACGGCCTCGAACAACTCGCGCTGCTCGTCCTCGTCCAGTTCGTCGATGGTCCGCTTCAACACCTCTGGTCCTCCTCGGGATCCCGTCTCATCTCCCGGCACGCCACTGTCAGCATCATCAGCATCAGGAGGAACAGCTTTCGCAGCAGCGAGCCTACCCACGATGATGCCTTTGAGCTCCGCCCACGCTGGCGAGCCCAGGAACTGCTTGAGCCCCTCGTCCTGCACGTGCTCGGCCTTGACCTCGAGATCGGGCGCCGAGCCCGCGGGTGGTGGGACCCCCTTGCCGTCGGTGTCCGCAATGAGGGCCGCGGTCTCTTTGAACTCGCGCTCCAGCGAGACGATTTCGCCCTCATTCTGCGCAGGCGTCGGACTGCACACCGCAATAGCCTCGTGCAACTTTTGAATATGCTCCACTTTGTCAGCAATATCCGCATCGAGCCTGGCCTTCTGCTGCTGAGCCTTGTGGAGGTCTTGGGAAACCCGCCAGTGGGCAACAGAGAGGGAACGCAACGGCTTCTGCCGCTCCTTGATGGAGAGGAGCTTCTCCTTCGTAGCTTTCCGAATGGGGTCTTCATTATTCCCTTGCAGCGACTTGCGGCCTCATACTGTGATGCCTGAGCCGACAGCTTGGCGCGCTTGATCCCGTCGTCGTCTGATTCTTGGATCGGGTCCATGTTTTGACTTGCCCACGGAGCCTTGGTCGGAGCCTTTGCAGCCCCTTGGGCCCTTGGGCCGCCGCGGGCTTGACCTCTGACTTAGCGAGCAGGGGCTTCTCGAGTGCCGCCAGCCTTCTGCTGGTCTCGTCACTGATGCAGCCACCGCCACTACCTGACTTGGAAGCACCCTTGCTGGAAGATCCCTGCCCTTTCTCATGCTTCTCAATCTCGTTATGTGCCCGCCATGCGTCTCGACGAATGCGCATGGGAGCCTCATTCCCGCACTGACACCGTATACGAGATGTCCAGTTCGCCGCCGCCGAGCACCTTCCACACGCCCATGTGGGCCGCCTCGGCCCGCGGAGCACCGCAGGCGCTGGCGGCCAAGGTGCCATGGCGCAACCTTCCTCGTCGTGAAACGGTTCTCCCCTGGGAGAGCACAAGCCAGAATGTCTCGCTGCAGCCTGCCGTTCTGAAATCTGCTGCAGCAGGCCCACCTTGTGGGCCAGAGCGGTTAGGACGAGGAAGAAGAGGAGGGGGAGGAGGGGGAGGAGGAGGAGCAGGAGGAGGAGGAGGAGGAGGAGGAGGAGGAGGAGGGAGGAGGAGGAGGAGGAGGGGGCGAAGGAGGCCGAAGAGGGGGAGGAGAGGCGAGGTCGAGTGCATGCGTGGAGGTCCCATATCCTTCGGCAGTTCCTGCAAGGGGGCGGCGGGTTTGTACAGGAGGAGGTGGAGGAGGCGCGCCCGCTGTCGCGGGGGGAGGCTGCCCAGAGTCCCAAGTCCGCAAGAGCGTGGAAGAGGTCTCAAGGGCCCGTGTTCACTGGCCGTGGGTGGATTCTTCGACCTCCGATCCGATCAGGTCCAGTCCGATCCCATCCGACCTGATCCCCCCCCTCACGTGGGGCGCAGCACTGCCACCTCCCCACCAACAGCGCTCGCTGGCGTGGGAAGTTGCGCTTCTGCTGCCAGCTGCTGCCACTCAGGCGCTACTCTTTCTTCTCGCCCGCAGTGGGTCACTCGGACAACGCTCCAGATTTCTTGCTTGCTTGCTTGCTCCAGGCTTAGCTGTGGAGTTAACTTCCTCCTCTTCCTCCTCCTCTTTTTCCTCTTCCCTGTGGGCGGGGTGGGGTTGGCACGGAAGGGCATCGCCACTTCTTTCCATCTGCGCGGGGCTTAGGCACGCATGAGATTGCCCGGTGCCAAAGGGGAGGCTCCACACGGCTTCCGAACCCAGTGGCATCTTGGCGTCATGTGCACCATCTCCTGCACGGCTTCGATGAGCCCTGTGCTACAGCTTCCTCCCCGTGCGCGCGCGCGCGCTCGCGGGGAGGCGATGCTGGCGCACTACCTGTCGAAGCGTGGTGCCGACGCGTCGTCGGTGCGGCGACTGGGAGGGGCTGCCGGCTCCTGACCGCCGCCCGCCTCAGGGGCAGCGTTCGGAAGGGGGATGCGGTCGGGAATTTTGGCTCAGCGCATCACGCCGCCAGTGACGGCCCTCCCCTCCTCCCCGTTATCTGTTCCTCCTCCTCTTCTTCCTCCTCCTGCTCCCTGTTTCCTCCTCCTCCTCCTCCTCCTTCTCCTGCTCCTCCTCCTCCTCCTCCTCCTCCTCCTCCTCCTCCTCCTCCTCCTCCCTGTTTCCTCCTCCTCCTCCTCCTCCTCCTCCTCCTCCTCTGCTCCTACTCCGGCTCCTAGCCGCCACCACGGCCCTGGTCACCCCTGCCCACAGGCGGCCCTCTGACCCGCGCAGAGGCACCATGGGGGCAACCGTGGCGTGGCTGGCGCTCTGACTGCGGTGTGCCGCCTCCCCAGGCGGAGCCCCGCAGGGAGGCAGGCGCGCACGCTGGCGCTCGCGCTGGACATGGCGGTGAGGCTGCTCGTTGCCCTCGCGCTGGCAGCGATGGGGCGCGCCCTGGCGGACCCCGCCACTGGGGAACGCTGGTGTTTCGTGGGGTGTTGGAACCACCCGCACAACCTCGTGAGCGCGTACCGCCTGGACGAGGTGAGCACCGTCTTGCGCTCCGTGGGGGTCGTGGCGCTCCCTGGCACTGGTGTCCGCGCGTGGCAGAACGAGCACCACCACGCGGCGAACGCGTCCCACCATCATACGGTACAGCTCGGCTGGGCTAGGGGGCGCCTCACCACGAAGGCGCGCGGGTGTGCGATCATGATCAACAAGAGGTGGTTCGGCAGGAACGACATCCGCCGTATCATCACCCCCCCGCCCAGCTGAGAGGAAGAGGTGGCATGATCTACCTCAGCGCAGGCCCAGTCATGCTGGCGGTGATGGTCCTCTACTTCCCGCCGCGCCCTAGCAAGGCTGGCGCGGCGACGGTGTATCACGACACGTGCTCGCAGCTGTTGTTGTGGGCCCTGACTGAGTACGCGGCCATCCCGCAGCGATACACACCGATCCTGTGCATGGACCTCAACGGCGGCCTGGCCAGCAACTACGAGTCCGCGGCGGTCGGCCCCTACGGCGCCCCCCTGGAGCCCGACACCAGCAAGAAATTACACGAGTGGATGGACATGGTGGGCCTGATCGCGATCAACACGTTCTACCCGTGCGGGAACACGTACGAAGGCTCCCAGGGGGCAAGCCAGATCGATTACGTTATCATCCCTGCGGCCGCGCGCCCATTGGTGAGCTGGACGGCTACGTGGCGACGGACAGCGCAGGAGGGCCGCTCCATGCCTGGAGTGCTGGACCACATCCCGATCGTCCTCAAGATGAAGATGGTGCCGCCGATCAACCTGATTCCGAGGAGGGAGCGGTGGGGCCGCGCGAAGCTGAGCCAGGCTACGCTGGTCGGCGAGGGCCGCGAGGCCTTTCTCCATGACGTGCAGGGGCAGCTGGAGACCCACCGCGCGGCGTACGAGATCCTGGAGAGTCGGGAGGCCACGACGGGCCATTCGGCTTTGCTGATGACGATGATCCGCGACGTCGGCCTCAAGCACTTCTCCCAGGAGCTGGCCAAGGACCCCAAGCGCGAGCTGATAACCACCAGGAAGTGGCAACTGCTGAAGCGGCGGCGGGAGCTCCTCCAGAGCATCGCGGCACAGGACGCCGCCGCGGATGACGACACCGCTCGGAAGTACAGCATGGCAATCACGGCCTACGCGAAGTCCATCAAGACCCACAGGAGGCAGGCATTGGAGGAGCAGCAGCAGACAGACAGGGAACGAGCTCTCCAATGCGTGGCGGCGCCGCGACATGGCTGCTGTTCCGCGCCTCGCGCGGGCGCTCGCGAGGACGGCGATCGATGGTGATCGGCATCAAGAGACGCAATTTCCGCGCCAACCCGTCCTACTCGCCCTCGGCCCAGGAGTGGAGCGACTTCCTGCAGCTCCAGCCGCTGGAGGGCGGCCTGCGCGGCGAGCCGATCTCAGTCCCGTGGAGTGCTGACGTCTCAGCTGAGCGGCTCGCGCAGCTGGCGAACATCGACGAGCACGCGCACCCCGACAATTATGACGTCCCGACCGACATGGGGAAGCAGGCGCAGGAGGATTTCAAGGCCACGTGCAAGGCCATCCGCAGGTCCAAATTCGGACAGTCTGCGCCGGGATGGTCGGCCCCCGCTGAGGTCTTCAAGATCCTGATCAATCCCACGTGGATAAGCGTGCCGAGCGAGTACTGGAAGCGGCTAGTTGCGCTTGGGTCGCGTGGCGAGGCCGCGTGGGCGACTGAGCCGCGCGCGGCGGACCCCTGCGACCAGGAGCAGCTGGCCCACCTGGCGAAGTACTGCGAGGCTGCCCACAGGCTCTTCAGGCTCGTGGTCCACGTCAGGCTGGCGGAGCCCCCCCCCGTCCAGGCGCCCTTATCCTACGGCTTTGCACCCGACAAGAAGAACGGCCGCCCTGGGCCGGCTGGCATGAGGCCCCTCCACGCCATGTGCCCATGGTAGCGGGCGCGCGCGAGGGGCCAACTCCCGCGCGGTGGCCCGCGTCGCCCGCCGCCGCGGGCCTTCGCATGCCGCGGGCGCCGCCGCGGGCACCTGATGGTCCGCGCTAAGGCGGCGGCCTGGAAAGGCATTCGGGGCGGACAACCGATGCTGCGCAAAAGCTTCGACGCCACCAATGCCTGCGCCAGTGGCCACGAGCGCCGGTTGGAGGAGGGCGTCCGCGAGCGCCAGGAGGAGGAGCCGCGCGCGCCGCGACCAGCTCGCAGTCATCATCGACGCGGCGGACCAGCGCCTTGCGGTCCGCAGCGGCGGCGGCGGCTTCATGGGCGACGCCGCGGGGCCCGAGGTCTTTATGCGCAACAGGCACCACGCGGTCAAGGCGTTGACCACCTTTGGGCGCCACCAGCTCAACAGCAACACCGTCATCACCTTCGGCCGCTTCACGCCCGTCGACGCGAGCATGGGCTCCTTCATGGATGACATCTTCAAGACGCTGCTCATCGACCCCAAGGCCCACTTGCCGATGGACATCGCCAGCGCTTCCAAGAACAACGACTTCTTCCTGGACACCTCACTGGCGGCGAGGGGATGCGCGCAGAACCGCCGGAGGCAGGACGTCGTTCCCGCCCTGAGGTCGCGGCTGCTCACGCGCCAGACCATCGAGGCGCCCCTGGACTCAGGCTGCCATGCGAGCTACGGGCTGAAGCACCTGGGCGCCTGGCCCAACGCGGCCAACAGCAACGCCAGCGAGCTCGAGGCCAGGCTCCAGGCCCTCAACCGCGGCTGGATGATGGCCAAGGGCTTCCGGCACTCGAGGGCACCCCTCAGGACGAAGCGGCCGACGTTCATCTCGCTGGTGTCGGGCGCGCGCCTGTCTGGCGCCATTGCTATGTGCTGGACGGAGAATGAGTGCAGAACCTCGTGCCCCCCCCCCCCCCCCTGGTGCGCAAGCTCCGCTCCCTGATGGGCGGCGCCACCAACAAGTCGCACCACCTGCTGCGGCCGCCTGCGACGGAGCAACTTATGCAGAATATGAAATCACGTGGAGTCTACAGGTTCTGGCAGCTGGCGCCTTTTGCGCTGGAGGCCACTGTGCAACGCCTCAAGGCTTGGCAGAGCATCCTCAGGAACCCCGCGAACCACTCGCACTTCCTGTCGGTGTTCTTCGCCACAATGAAAAGGGGGGAGGAGGCCGACCACGCGTGCCCACCAGTTTTGATGCCCGCTGGCGATGGCAATGGCGACCCTGGGATACACCTGTGGGCAGTGCAGTTCAAGCGTGATTTGCTGATCGTTGTGGACCACCGTGAGGCGGAGAGTGTCACGTCTGCGTGGGGTGGCGATGTTCGCGAGCTGATCTGGGGCCCTGAAGTGACTGACCTGTTCCTTGCCTTCGATATGAAGGCCCTGTGCGCGTCCTCCATGCCTTCGACCTAGCGGCCGCCCGTTGCACTGGCCGACTCTGTGCCCGCTGAGACGGATGGCGGAGAGACATGGGATAATCGTGCTCCAGCGTTCGCCTGCTGCATCGCCGTCGGGGAGGGATCAGGCGTGGAGAGTCATTCAGGACACGAGCAGCACTTATCGCGCACGCCGCGCAGAGCCAGAAGGGGGGACACGGTGGGAGGAGCATGCTGCACATCATCACGCCGACGAACGCCTGCATCAATTGTTGCGCGGTATTCCAGATTCGCACGGAGGCAGCGCGGCACTTGACGGAGCCGTGGCACGCGGGCAGATGCACCATGAATAACACAGCGTTTTCTTACACGTGCATCAACCCGACCAGCCTGCGCTGCACCATATGTGACTTCACGTCGTCTTCGTATCCTTCGCTCCGTCGCCACCTGCGCTTGCGCCTGCCGCAGACGCAGGAGGGCGCCCCGCCGGCCGCGGTCGCCCCGCGGCCCCCTCGCCCTCGGAGGCGGCAGCCCGCCATTGCCGGCGCTGGAGGGCGCGCTCGCGGGAGCGAGCTTCGCACGCTGCCTGGGCTTCTCTTCCGCGGAGACGATCTACGGCGGCTGCTGCGGCGGGGTGACGGCAGCGGCGGCGACGCCCATGGGCGACAGCCCAGTCAGGCCGCCGTGGCGGGCCCCGCGGGCCCCCCCAGCTGCCTCCGCGAGCGGCGGCACAGGCGGGAAGTCCGGCGCCGAGGGCCGCAATAATCAGAAGGGCCAGGACGGAGCTGGCGTCGCTCGCGGAGCCGCGGGCGCCGAGGGCACGGCGGCCAAGCCGGGGCCCGCGCGTCGCGGCGGCCGCCGACGCGGGGGCGACAAGGGGCGCAAGCTGACCACCGAGGACGGTGGCCTTCGCGCGCTCGCTCAGAAGAGCCGCGCGATGCGGGGGGGCCCCACCAGGGCGGTCATCCTCGAGGAGGCTAGCCCCGTGGTCAAGCAGATGCAGGAGGAGGGGAAGGCGCGCGTGGAGAACGCGCAGAACCTGCGGAGCAAGGTGGCCAAGATGAGAGAGGTCGTGAAGG